CATGTGCTCTAAGTATATCCCGCACATGGAGAGAAGTTTGAGGTAGTTTTTATGCTATCCTAGTATTGACCGTACACTCTGATTGTGTCATGGTCATTAAGTACTCAATGAGTTTAAGAACAAAAGAAAGTTGCATGTGAACCAAAAGATAAAATGATATGCAAGCGTGACTTGCAGAAGTATTGAAAATAATAGACTATGTTGAGTTTTGAAATGTAATGAGGAAAATGTACTCCCATACGAATTTTGTTTGCATGATGTAATCATGTGGATGAAATAAGTAATCAAAGTTTCCTCATTAACAAGAGTTCTGAATGTTTTTCGAAATTGTGGTAGAAAAGTTCATACCACATTTTGAGGGGGAGAAATGTAAGATTAATTGAGAAAGACAATTAAGAAAGATACTTCCCCATACTTGAGAGATAATGCAATGCATACTATGCATTGAAGGTAAAAGTGATCTATAAAAGATGAATGTGGTCGTTAGGGAGTAAGACGGTCATAATAAAGATACCCCTAAAGTAAAGAAATAGCTAAATTCCTAGACCTTTTACTACGATTCCGATAGGAAGATAGCATAGTTAGCTAGTATTTATCTTTGGGACGAGTTCAGAGTTATCAAGGCGGTGCTAAACGCGCCATATGAGTTTTTTAGTAGATTAAACCCAAAATAAGAAATTTGAAGATACACCATCTTTTCAGAAGATGGAGTAATCTGGGGGAGCATGGTATGTAGATACCTAAGGCTTGAATAGAAGTGGGATTACATATCCACTACAATGTTTTTTAGAGCAACAAATTGATTAATACATGTTGATGTTGTATGACATATACAACACCTGATGTTAGCTCTTAAAAAAGATGAATAAGTAAACAAGGATCTTGTGATACAGGAGGTTATAGAACAATTGCCTTTTGGCAATGAAGAGTAACAATAGCCCCATATGAAAGAAGTGCCACGAGGCCCTAGAAGGTCTCAAAGAATAAGAAAATCAGATATTTCTAGTGACTAAGAAGAGATTCCTCATGGAGCCAAAAGCAGAGGGCTATAATGGGTCTACATGACAAAGGTGACTCCAAAGGGAATATAGAAAGATACCCAAAGAGAATATGGAAAGCTATAAAGCGCCACTTGTGGTGAAATGTTTTACATAAAGAGAAGGAATAGATTATAATGAGCATGCAAGGATTCTTTTAGAATCATAATGGTATTAGTGGCACATTATGATTTGAGTTACATCGGAAGGATGTAAAGACACATTCCTCAACGGGATTTGTATGGAAAGTTTACATGGCATAACTCAAAAGTTTTTTGTCGTGGAAGGAAAAGAACGTAAAGGGATGTTGCCTAAAGAAATCCATTTATGGATTAAAGTAAGCTTCAAGATAGTGGTTCTTGAAGTTTGACAAAGACAATAAGAAAGTTTGGGTTTTAAAGAGAATGTAGAGGACAATTGTATTTATGCAAAGTTTAAACATGGGAAATTTATTTTCCTAATCACGCATGTGGGTAGCACCTTACTGCGCTAGTAGTGGTGTTAATCTACTTTGTTGGAGAAGAAACAGTTCTTGTCCTCAAGTTTCAATGAGAATGGTCTTGGTAAAGCATCATTCGTTCGAGAATTGGAACTTACCGAGATAAAAGGAAAAGGGTATTAGAACTATCTCAAGTGTATACTTAGAGAAGATTCTAAAGAAATAAAGTATATATGTGAATAAACTGCTACTGTTCCTATAGTCAAGGGTAATAGTTTTTGAAACTTTCAAAGTGTTTCAAGAATAAATGTGAGATCGATTAAAAGGACGTCCTATATGCTTCAAATTGTTGGAAGCTTAATGAATGCTTATAAGCAAGAACTTACCCCGACATAGTTCATGTATCCAAGGATATTTTAATGTAAGTCCGGTCGAGATATAGATCACTGGAATGGAGATGAGAATGTTTTGCAATTGTGCAAAGATTTGTAAGCCTCATGGTGAGTAAGAAAGAATAAGTACTCTCAAATAGTTGTGGGTACAAATGTTAAATTTTGGCGAGATGTTTAGTGAAACCCACATAGTAGCTAACACTCGCAGTTGGAGTTTTATTGTGGAAAAGCTCCAAAGAAACAGTTGTGGTGTCATCAAGGATGCATACCCACCGTATAGCTTGATATGAGGCTTAAAGGACAGGCGAAGTGGTTAAAAGAACTTACACCCGGAATTGATAATGGTATGTAACAGCAATAACCATTTAAGTAGTTCGCTCCTATAACAACGGGTCAAGTGTGCTGCCAAACACATTGACATTAAAGTTGTACGTTGTGAAGGAGAAAGTCCGGAATCATACTAAAAGTATTGAACATATAAGTAACAAGCAAGTGCTTGCGGATCCGCGTACAAAAGGCTTACCACCCAGTGTGTTTGGAGAACACACAGTCGACATGGGTTTATGGTATAGCCTATGATTTCCGGACAACAAAGGGCCCAAAGTTAAAGAATCTGTTTCAGAACAGAGATGTGTATTGTAGCTGTTAAGTCTATCGGCAATTGACCGTGACGATGAAGCATGCTCTATGCACTAATCTGTGATGGAACAAATAAAAGTGAAAATGATTAAAGTCAAAGTTTAAAGTTAAAGTATGAGTTGAGATCAAGGGGGAGAATGTTGGTTTGATCTCCCAACCACAGTGGCCCAACGGCCACTTGGGTTTGACCTCGCATACGATCAGGCGCGCCGGTCCATCTATGGCTGGCGGGCCCCGTCACACTCTTGCAAGATTAAATAGAGGTGGGGTCGACGGCTCTCAGACGAGGTTCGCCTCGAGCAGACGTCGCCCCACCAAGAAACCCTACTCCGATCTAGAGGGGCGCGCTGCGGTGTGGGAAGCACCGCCGCCGCCGCCTTTGCCGCTGCGCCACCACGGTCTTCACTGCATCGCTCTCTCTTCTCCGACCGTCGCTGCCTAGCGCAGATCATCACCGGCGAACTAGCCGAAGGCAGGGAGCTCCTCCAACCCCTCCGACGGTTAGATGTTCCTACATTTCCCTTTCTCTCTCTCTGTCTCTTACTCCCTCTGAATCTCTAAATCACTAGTTATCCCAAATAGAAAAGAACTCACCCACTGGATCCACTACTAGATGATCAAAGAAGTATAACAGCCAACAGTAGAAAAGACAGAAGCGATGAGAAAGAGAGAAAATATTAGTGTTCTTCTTACTAACCAGTGCTACTTGGTATTATAACCGACCATTGAAAACATCAAAGACATCTCGTAAGCACAACAGATCAAAATATATTTAGGTAATACCTTTTCTTTGTTCTTTACATTACATGACCCATGCTGTCATTACTATCTGTATAGCGCAATATATCCATTTCCATGCTTATCTTGGTGACTTGGTCCAATCTATTATAATCCATCTCTTCAATACTTGGCAGTACGATCCAATGATATGGGTCCATAATACCAATAGCCCATGGCCTCTTTTTTTTTCGCAACCGTGCCTAGGCACGTATTCATTAAGGAGGAGCAGACAACCATTACAACAAGAAGCAGACAGCACGGTAATCGCCTGGTTACCGAAATGTCGCCTCAAAGCAGGAATAGTCCAGGGCCTCTTTGCAAACTGACAAAGATCCATAGGCTGGTTTCCTCCAACAAGGTCATGGCAAAGTACCTTATATATGTGAGACAAGTTATCCAGCAACTTTGATCATTTTTCCATTCGCAAAGCAGAACAGCTTTGTTCCTCTATCATCAATATCGGCGACAACAGAATGTAAGGGCAAATGGGCAATAAACCAATGGTGAAATCTATTGGCAGTAGGTCAGGGAAAAGGCCTACAAAGGCGTGGCGTTGCCGTTGCCTTGGCTTTTCTAGTTCTCATTAACATATTGAATTACATTGTTACCATCATCCTTCCTTGCTTCCTTAATCATAATGTGCTTTGATCTTTATTCTGGAAGAAACCAGATATCAATAGACAGTTAACTAGAGTACAAATCAAATACTGAAATGTTATCGATTGTGATGTTTGCAGGATCCCTTTTTTGGCGCTATCAGGCCTATCTCGTGCAATTACGTTAGATTGATCCTGTTACACTCCCAACATGATTGTGGTTAATTATTACTTGGGATAGATATCGTTGTCTTCACATATTTACCCAGTTTTTCAGCAAACTTGAGCTTGCATTTGCAGCACTCGCTCGATGAATCGAGGCCACCATCTTGGCCGGTGTTGTTGATGGATTGCCGGTATCATCTCTTGAGGTCTGGTCGTTGCCCGCACGAGACCAGCATCGACCTCACGGACATCGCGGTGGTTGGATTCTTGAGATGGAAGAATGCCCGTCACCGTCGGGGTTCAGTTGAGCTCCCGACACGTGTTGTCTCTGTGGATCTAGAACGGCAGCTCAAAGTCGACGTGGTGCCTTCGTATGCTGACGGTAGCTACTGTCTAATCTCTACTAAGCTTTTGCTGTTGCTGCACATGTTGTTTTCACGCCTAAACTAGTGTACCCCACAGCACCACATGCGTGCGTTCATGCAGATTGGGACCTAGGAGTTTTTCTTTTTTTTTTTTGGATAGGAGGGACCTCGGAGTTTAGACCGGCCCCGGTACTACACATCCAACTCAGAGGTCGGAGCTGGACAGGTAGGTGAGAGTGAGAGCACGACGACTTGACGAGGTTCCAATTCGGGGTCAAGTCCACGGCCGGGTACGGCCTACGGGTACCCGCCGGAGAGGGAAGTTTCATGGCAGGAAACGAGCCAACGAGGCAACCAGCCAGGCAGCTTCATCATCAGCCAGAGTGCTTGACGATGCGTGCGAGGTCAACCAGTCAAGTCTTTGTGAAGGTCATAAAAAACCCCTGCGTCTGAACGCGCGCGGCGCGTCCCGCGTCGCATGCCGGCGGCCACCTTAAATTAAGCTAAAGCCCACCTGCCGGAGCGAGGCAGTGAGCGCGCTCGTGGTGGCCGGCATGGGATCCGGATGCGGGTCGAGCCGTCCGGCGATGGCGAAGGCCGAGGCCAAGTCCAAGTCCGACGACAGCGGGAACTCGTGGGAGTACAGGCTCCGCAAGTACCTCCTGCTGCTGGCCATGCTGGTGGCCACGGTGACGTACGCCGCGGCATTCAACCCGCCGGGCGGCGTCTGGCAGGACGCTGACCCCGCCCACGACCGCATCGCCGGCGACCCCATCATCCGCGACATCAACTACGGCCGCTACCTGGCTTTCTTCTACAGCAACGCCACCGCGTTCGCCCTCTCGCTCGTGGTCATCGTGCTCGTCCTCATCCTCGCCGTGCTGCACGAGAGGCGCTGCGCCAGCCTGGCGCCGCTCCGCATCCTCCGCGTCGTCATGGTGCTGGACCTGCTCAGCCTCATGGGGGCCTACGCCGCCGGCGCGTTCCGGGACAAGCTCACGGCCATCTACTCCCTGGTCCTGCTGGCCGGCGTCGTCCTCTACCTCGCGGTCCACATGGCGCTGGCCTGCCGGACGGGCAGGGCGGACAACAGCAAGGCGGCCCACATGGCAATGGCCTCGCAGGAGGACAGCGCATCCGAGAGGCTCCGCAAGGCGGCCCACATGGCAATGGCCTCGCAGGAGGACAGCGCGTCCGAGAGGCTCCGCAAGGCGGTCCACATGGTGCAGGCCTTGCAGAAGGACAGCGCGCCCGAGAGGCTCCGCAAGGTGCTCATGGTGCTCGCCACGTTCGCGGTGAGCGTCACGTACGTGGCCGGGCTCAGCGCGCCGGGCGGCTTCCGGGACCGGGCCGAGGGCGACCACCGCCCGGGCGACGCCGTCCTCAAGGGCAGCCGCCACGACGCGCGCCTCAAGGCGTTCTTCGTCTTCAACACCACCGCCTTCGTCGCGTCCCTGCTCATCATCATCATTCTCCTGGATAAGAAGCTGACATTCAGCCCAAATGTGCGGTCGGGCGAGCTCTATGTGTTCATCGCCCTCACGCTCATCGGCCTCGTCGGGGCATACTCCGCCGGCAGCTGCCGGCAGGTTGATACTACCATCTATGTCAACTCTCTGATTGGTGCCGTTATTGCCTGCATTCTCCTTCAAGCAGCTGCTATCAAGTTCTGCAAAGCAGCCATAAAGAATCTTTGTAGCTGCGTCAGTGTTAAGCAGCAACAAACTCCAGATCCAAACACTAGTGAAGTGTCAGGATGGCTTCGTCGAATAAAGCAATTTTGTCTTTGTCAGACCACTCAAGATCCAAGCACTGGTAATGACGACGCCAGGTACTAATAACAGAGCACATATCCTTATTCCTCCTCTATTAATTATCAGCATTGCTGCATTGGGATTAATTTCTTCTCTTTTTTTTTGAATGTAGGATTAATTTCTATTTTTCCTGTTTAATTTGTCAGTGTTCAAGCGCTGGAGAATGCCCACTCTCTTGTTCTGCTGCTGGCCACTCTCGCAGCGGCCATCACCTACCAAGCGGGGCTGAACCCGCCGGGCGGGCTCTGGCAGGACGACGGCGACGGCTACAAGGCCGGCGATCCGATCCTGTTAACCATGAGCCCCAGGCGATACAAGGCCTTCTACTACTGCAACTCGGTCGCCTTCGTGGCGTCCCTGGTGGCCATTGTCCTGGTCAGGATGAAGACCTTGCACCACCACAACGCGCTGGAGGCCGCCATGATACTGGACCTGTTTGGCCTCATCGGCGCATACGCCGCCGGGAGCTGCCGGGATGTGAGCACTTCCATCTACGCCGTGGCCTTGGCCGGCGCTGTTCTCGTCTACGTTGTGATCCATGTCGTCTTCTTCACGCTGGACCACAACGACGACGGCAGCACGAGGCGGAATGACGAAGCTTCCGCAGAGAAGGAGAAAAAGGATGCCGAGTTGGAGATGGTGAAGAAGCGGCGCAAGCGGCTGCTCCTCTTCGCGATCTTGGCGGCGACCATCACTTACCAAGCCGGGCTGACGCCGCCGAGCGGCTTCCTGGTAACCGGGAACCACGCTGGCGAACCCGTCCTGCTCAACAACTACCCACGCCGTTACACGGCGTTCTTCTACTGCAACTCGGTGAGCTTCATGCTGTCCATTGCGCTCATCATCCTGCTCGTGAACCCAAACCTGTACCGGCCGGCCATCCAGAGCAACGCGCTCTCCGTTTGCACGGCGGTGGGTATGATGGGGATTATGGGTGCCTATGCCGCCGGCAGCACGCAGCATCGGAAGACATCCATCTACATCTTCGCGTTGGTGGGGTTCGTCCTCTCCGTAGTCATCTTACTGGTTGTGCTGTTCTTGGTGATCGATCCGGACAAGAAGAAGAAAACGGCAGATCAGTCAACCCAAGAAGGCCGGTCGGCAGATGAGGCAACCCAGGAAGGCAGGTGTCAGGGCCACTGTATCTCCATCAGTGCCTGCTTCTCAAGGAGTGCAGATGAGGCAACCCAGGAAGACAGGGCTGCTGTCACTGTAAATCCCATTGAAGCCGATCCCGAAGCACAAAAAACCGACGCCCCCATTAACATGAAAGCCTCAAGCGGATATGAAAAGAAGCTACATGCCAAGCGCAAGTATCTGATGCTGCTTGGAATCCTGGTGGCGGGCATCTCCTACCAGGCCGGCCTGGCACCGCCCGGCGGGGTCTGGCAGAGCAACGACGGCGGGTACGAGGCGGGCGACCCGGTGATGCACGACAACACGAGGCACCGGTACCTTGCCTTCTTCTACAGCAACTCCGCCTCTTTCGTCGCATCCGTCGTGGTCATCGTCCTTCTGCTGCCGGGGTCTGTGTCGCTGCAGACCCCGGCACCAGCGTCCCAGAAGTGGTGGAATGACGACTGGTGGCTCGGCGTGATGAACTTTACGATCGTGCTGGACCTCCTCGGCCTCCTCGTCGCCTACGCCGCCGGCTCCAGCCGGTCGTGGAAGACCTCTGGATATGTCTCCGCGCTCGTCATCGCCGTGCTAGCCTATTTTGTGATCCATGTCGTGTTGTCGTGCTTCGTCAGGATCAGTAAGAGTGAGAATACTCAGAGTCAGGGCGGCACTTCTCAAACTGGTTGAATCATGAAGGTACGGTATGGAGCTGAGAGTTTGTGCAGCATGTTGTCTGTGGTCTTCAAGTTTTCTTTTTCACACTGTGTTGTGTCTACTTGGAGCATAGTACTGTACTAGTAGTAGGTCTGTGGCACACTGTTGAGGAGAAGACTTTCCTTTTTCCTGCTTCGGTTTTTTTGGTAGATTGATGGAAGACTGGAAATGGAACTTCTGCCTCTCTAGCCTGTATGGATGTTTGGGAGTTGGGACTGATTTAGCCATTTAGGTAGCAATAGGCTGGGACCATCCTAAGCGTTACTTTGATACTCTCGTGGCAGATCTGAATCGGATTCCAATGGATGCGGTTTTGTTTAGTTGTTTGCTTCTTTGTTATTAAAAGCAAAGATTCGCACTGTTAAAACAAATTGACTTGCACATATGCTCTGAGACAGTTTTTGGTTTTCCATAGGAAAGAATTGAAATGTGTTGAAACATAACTCGATTGACCTTCTCTATCCATGCTGCAATGCAGCATTATACTCAGACCGTCCTAAAATATAATCGATTGACCTTCTCTATCCATGCTGCAATGCAGCATTGTACTCATTAGGCCATCCTAAAATATAGTTGAATTTGAGTTTCTCTTAAGAACAGTCTGTCAGCATGTTCGCTTGTTGGTTTCAGCCAGAGATTATCAGCTAGCCAACAGTGTTTTCCTCTCCCAACAAACCAACACTAGTCGGGCTTATCAGCCTAGAAATCAACCAGCGAACGGAGCCTGTATGTGCAAAAAGAGATCCACGTAGGGCTATATATGGATTGACTTAACATTATGAAGTGAACACCGAACAATAGCACATACAGTAGCTAAGGATACCCGTATGGCTATGGATCGACCATAGAAATAAAATATTTTTACTTCTCTTCTTTTCTCTCTCATGGCCATGGTAGTGCCCCTGGAGCCTCCACACGCCTTTGAATCGATGTGCCCTCAGATGGAGCATCATTGTCACCACCGATGGTGAGTCAAGGAAGATGCTACCACCGCCACGTCTCTAGAGTGAACAACTATTGTAGCCAGGCGACGCTAGCATGGACACGAGGTCACGTAGTCCTCTTTTACATGAGTACAAAAGGATTGATTCAGGGTAGAGACAAGCCAACCTGGGCAAGGAAGGCCGGTTCAGGGTAGAGGCAAGCAAATCCAGAGCGATGAAGATCGATTCCGAACGGCGCGAAAGAGAGCGTGTGGAAGAAGGGAATGGGAGGGGTAGGAGATGGTTGACTGATGGATGGGTATTTTATTGCTTGAGGTGGGTTCATGTTTAGACCTAACACATTGTAGGAGGTAAAACAACTCTAGATCACTAATAAGGGACCCACCTATGAAGACCACTACATACAGATGCACTATTCAAAGCCCTAAGTTATACTACCTGTAAAAAATCACTACATTTGGTGTCATAAATGTTGAAACACTTCTCAATAATTTTGGTTAATGGTTAGATAATTTGACTAGAGATATAGTTCGCTGGTCTAAAATTTGGCTGAAAAACACTGTTCCTGCTGAATTGTTATGAGAGAAAAATACTGTTCGGCTGAAAAAAGAAGCAGAACAAGCCGAATATGGGGTAAACCGAATAGGGCCATAAAATTGCATTTATTTTTCAAGTTTGGGTGTTCGGTTGCAGTAGCTGCAGCAGCCCGCAGCTATTCCTACAATAATTTGAGAGAGAAGAATAATGCAGCCGACCACCCCTAGTAACTATTACTTGCAATGGGTCCCAGATAAAAAAGATAAATAATAATTCACGTTTTTTTACTGAAAAATCATATAGGTCATGAAGGTACCAGTAATAGTTTTTTTACTAATCTTTTATACATACCTATGTTCAGATCATTTTTTATCCATATTTACGTTTACTGATGAACCCGACATGCTATCATTTGTTGACTGATTAGGTCTAATTATGTATTTTTGGTGGTTCATCGTCATAGCTCTGGAATTACGCATCGTGCAACTGCAACCTTAAACCCCATTTAGACCACGCGATTTTTTTTTCTCAAATCTTATACGAGTATTTATAATCTTATATTTTTATATACATTTTATGTTTGTTTAGAAACCCGTAATAACGTTGTATACATTTTATGTACGTTTTTTTGTGAAATTTCTGTTCCAAATTAGGTATTAGTCCTGCACTCTTGCTTGGCCCATAGAGAAATAAGAGAGCATCCGTCATCTTAGGCCCAAATTTGTTGGGCCGAGGCCCATTAACCAAACACTGCATTCGTAGCGATTCAACCGCACATTCCCCTGTTCCAGATCTGATCTGACAGATCCTCCGCCACGCGCCGAGAGCCGAGCGGGGGCAAAGCCAACAACCGCCACCGACGCGCCAGCCGTCCATTGGCTGGCCGTCGCGAGATACGGCCAAATCAACCACCAAGCACGTCCAGCTCAGCCCACGCACCTTCTCCCCCTCGGCCCCCGCTTCCACGGTCGCCGCCCATTCCCGTTTCCTCCCTCCTCCCCACACCCCATCCCGGCCTCGGATTTGCTGCCCCCCACCGTTCCAAATCCCCACGCGAGCGGAAACCGAGCGGGCGAATCGAATCCCGTCCCGTTCGGCGAGCGAGTGAGCGGCGTCCGTCCGGCTAAGCTTTGGTTCGGGGCTTCGGGCTCGCTCGATCGACCAGACATGGCGCACCGGGTGGACAACGAGTACGACTACCTCTTCAAGATCGTGCTCATCGGCGACTCCGGCGTCGGCAAGTCCAACATCCTCTCGCGATTCACGCGCAACGAGTTCTGTCTCGAGTCCAAATCCACCATCGGTGTCGAGTTCGCCACCCGCACCCTGCAGGTACCCCCATATACATCAACCCCGATCTGATCGCGCCCCCAATGTGGCAATGTGGGGTAGAATTTTGCGTGGTGGCGTCCGTCCGGCCTCCGGCGCCATTTGCCGCCATGCACGACGCGTTTGTCTTTTGATTTTGAGATGTTATTGTGTCAATTGTTGTTTAGGCTGCTACATTTTGACCGTGCTTCGTGCAAGTACGTCACGCTTGATTTCTCAATCTTATCTCTTATGCCGTGGTCTTCTGTTTCAGAACGAGACATTAATCATCTCAAAGAAAAAGAATGAGAGATTAATAGATGAATGATCTGTTTTATGCTTGACTCTGAAGACCGATGTGGTTGTTCATGTTATGGTTTTGAGGACAATGCGACAATGCAATGTGCGAAGCACCACCTGTTTAGTTTGCATGATGCCATGAGGAAGATTAGAAATGTTGTAAGGTGTGCTTGGTTGTGGGCAAGCTTGCCCTGACCTCACCTCACCTAGCACATGGAGGCCAGGAGAGCCAAGGAAAAATCTTATCTGCATTGAACTCAAGACTAGTTAGATATACATCCAACACCCTGCCCACTCCAATTCCCAGCTTTACACAGTCTTGGACAAAGAATGCAAGCATACTCGTAATGTGTTGTCATGTTAGTTAGATATACATCCAACACCCTGCCCACTCCAATTCCTAGCTTTACACATTCTTGGACAAAGAATTCAAGCATACTCGTAATGTGTTGTCATGGCAACATAGTAAAATTGGAAAATAAAAGGCACCAAAAGAATGCTAATATTGCCTTTTAGGAGTTAATCAATCTCAATTTTGACAGAATTTATAGAAAGTAATATCAATACTTTATCTCCGAAAGATTTCATTATTAAAGTATACTTCACAATTAATCTAAGTACACACCATAAATATTATTAACTTTTGTATATATTTAGTCAGACTTAGAGATTGATGACCCTTGAAGCAAGATTTGTATTATTATTTTTGGAACGGAGGTATTGCATCGGTATTGCTCCACAAGGTGAAAGGTGAAGTGATAGGGAAGGTACCTCCCTAAGTATAAGTAGGAGAAAAGTAAAATCAGCCTTGAGAAAAGTAAATTTTCATCCCACAAAATAGGAGTATATACCAGGGTTAGTATCCACCTGCTGGTACAGATCCTGTAGTAGTGTTTGTGCCAGCGCGACATAGATAGTCATGTATGGTCATATATGTCATGTTGATAGGATTGCGGATCCTACCAGCTATGGTTCGGAGGTTGTAGGGATGGTGGATCGGAGGACGGAAACGGGAACGGCGCTGGGGCGCCGTGTTCTCGATCTAGGGGAAGGAGGAGGATGCTAGGGCTGTTATGAAGTCTCCCGGCTCCCTAAGGGAAGCCGAGCAGATTGATTGCTCTTGCTTAATTGTTTCAATTCCTTACAATATAGCAAATAATGAAAATACTAATGGGCCTTGCGCCTAACTAGCCACTAATGGGCTTCTGTCTTCGTGCATATGACCGACCGGTCATAACACATGTACTATCCTCTGAATTGTCAGCCATATGATTTTGGTACTAATTCCTTCCGGTAGTCGTATTGATAGGGATGGCCTTAATTGTCTCTTTCACTAGTCATTTCCAATCTTGGTTTTATTGAATAGTGAGTTGTACAATGGGACACTAAGGTACAATTATTTGTACTTCATTTCTACGTGCACTGGAAGTTTTTGCTGTCACAAATACTGTATCTAGTTCATATATAGAAATTGATAAAAGAATGATGAAGGTCGGAGTGTAGTTAGAGAGTGACATGAGATCTGAAGCCATTCTTTTTAATACATGGTGAAGATATCCTCTGAAATTTTGGAATTGTATCTTTTCTTTAGTTTAATTTGGCTTTTCAACTTGTTTATTACTTGGTTGAAAACTGGTGTCATGAGATTTTTCTATAATGATAGTGATGTTCCTTTTCATTGGTTCTCTTTACTGATTATATGGCTAGGTGGCTTAAGCTCAGGTAGGTCAGAGTTTGAGTTTGCCTTGCCTACTTCACAGAATAAGCTATGAGTTTGCCTCGCCTATTTCTCACAGAATAAGCTATGAACTCGGCACTCCATTTAGCCTTTTTCAGTAGAAATCTCCTGATGTTCAGGACATACAAAAATATTACTGTTCTGCC